TGTTGCGGAGGGCGGCCGAGGCCGCCGGCCCTACCTGTGTGAAGCTGGGCCAGTGGGCCAGCACGCGGAGGGACCTCTTTTCCGAGGCCTTCTGCGATGAGCTTTCGAAGCTGCACGTCGAGGTGAGCCCACACCCGTGGGGCCACACTGACGAGCTCCTAAGGAAGGCCTTTGGTGAGGACTGGATGGGCATCCTCAAGTTCCAAAGCCGGGAGCCGGTCGGCTCAGGCTGTGTCGCCCAGGTGTATAAAGCCTATGCTGACCTCACGGCAATCGCCGGCTCCCAGGCCAAGGAGCTAGCGCAACACTTGGAGTTCAGGACTGCTTTTGAAGCGTGGGAAGCGTCAGGCTTTAGAGGCCTCCTCAGGTGGCTGAGGAAGAGGAAGAGTGAGCAGATGTGGGATGAGAGGAGCAGGGATGAGCTCAGCCCAGCAGACGGCTCCCGGAGAAGTCCTGAGAGTGGGATGTCCCTTATGGAGTGGATTGCCAAACCACTCCTGAATGCACATCCTTCATCAGCCAGACATCTCATGCCTGTAGCCATTAAAGTAAGTCATACACATGACTGGTAGATATGTGAAAATGGAGCATGCTGGATGAGGCTGATCAGGTTTTAATTTCCACGGAGATGAGCAGCTGGCTGAGGCCAGGTAGAGTGAGAAGTGATGCTCATCTCCCGTAGTGGCTTTTCTTGGTGTTTTTGTTCTAGCCAGCTGCAATCCAGACTTGCAGTGGCTCCAGCTCTTCCCAGCCTGGGGAGCTTGAGGACAGATACTGCCGATAGCACCATTTGACATGGCATGTGGATGCCACACATGCTTACAAGGGCTCAGTTTACATTAAAAGAATGAATATTAAACTTGGTTTCACCTTCCAGACAAGGAAACCCCTCCTCTGCTCACATAAAGAAACTGGAACAGATAAGTTCTTTCCAGCAAAGTTATTTAAAGAAATCTTACATTTGAGCTACTCCAAATACTAGTCAGTACTGCATGGCAGGGAATGAGTGGGAGTGTGAAGCAGTGGAAAATGGCATAGGGTGAGACTAGCACAGATAGATTCCATTTGACAATTATAAAAATGTTTCTTTACAACTTAATCCATGGCAAAATCTGAATTCTTCTGAGGATTAGCTGGGGAAGCTTTGTTAGCCCCCAGTCCAATAGGCTGGATTCTATGTATTTGGCATGTATTGCTTGAGTCGATTGATGTGGAGTATCTGGGGAGTAGATCTTGCCACTGTTGGTTCTTATGCAGGTCCTGCACCCTGGGCTGGTCCACCAAGTCCAGATGGATCTGTTTCTCATGAAGCTGGGTAGCCACATCATTGGACTTCTCCCTGGATTCAAGTGGCTCAGTTTGACAGAGATTGTGGAGGAGTTTGAGAAGCTCATGATTCAGCAGGTAGGTGCCGTGCCATGGTCCCCACGTACTGAAACAAAACTGCCTTTGGTCTTGCTACTGGCTGACTCTGACTCTGTTCATACTGCCCCATTTTAAAGGATTAGGTGAAGGCTTGCTTGTTCTTTAGTTGTGTTCTTTATTCTAATCAGCCACATAATGTTACTGTAAGGAAGCTTATATGCTCACAGAGTAAAAAAGCAAAGCAATGAAAAAATTAACAGTCTTTATCAGGTTTAAGAATCTTTTTTAGGCTTTGAGTATGTTCTCAGGAGCTAGCCAGAGTCGCAAGTCTTTTTGCAGCATTCTGAAACATGAACACTGGTAAAGACCTCTCTTAAGGAAAAGAATTTCTCCAAACAAGTGCTCAGATGTGTTTTTTTTTCTCTTTAACCCTACACAGATGTTTGCAGTCTATACTCACCGGTCATGTTTGTTGGCAGTGAGATACATATTGGCTAATAACTAATATATTTTCACATAAGTTAATAATACGTTCTATATTGTGCTGGCATCAGACTCATGATATTGGTAAAGTTAAGCCTTGCAAACAGATCTGAAAATGTCCTGATTCACTAATGTCTTCTAAAGACACAGTCCTGACACGTCCTTACTACCAAACTTACAAAGATTTCACTACAGGCTCGATTAGGCTTATGTTTCTATTAAAATGAACTATTATCCGCTGATTTAATTTTTGTGTCTAGATTGCAGAGTTTGAAGTCTGTACAAGCTTTTAAAAGCCTTAATTCTTTTCCATTATTGCAAAAAAATCTATACAGTACATCCGTGCTGTAAACTGTTGACTGTGTTCAGATGTGACTCAAGTCAGTAGTACCAGTTTAGTCCAGCAAAGCTTTTGGTGGATGTACTGAAGGCTGAGGATTAGGAGAGCATCTGATACACTTGTACTTGCTTTTCCTTTCTCTTTGAAAGGCCCAGAAGTGTTCCTCAGATATTTGCCTTTGCCAGATGAGGGACATGAGGCAAGGTTATCCTGCCTCCTTGAGCAGCAGCAGTGGGCAGGAGAGATGCCTTGTGTCAAGGCACTGGATCACTGGAGAGCTAGGGCCAGGACTTTGCACTGGGTTATTTTGTACATGTTACATTAAATTCTTCCTGCTGTGGCTGCCTATCTGTAAAGTGAGGTTAGGGCTGCAGTTCTACCTTGTCTGCTAGTTGGACAGTGAACTTTAATTCAGGATAAGTCTTATCCCCCCTGAAAATAATGCAGTCCTGGTCTTTTCTGAGACATCAGGCCTATATAAGTCACCCGTATTGTAAAGGTGCTGGGTTGTGTACCATCCATTACCCTGTCTTTTACTCCAAGTCTTCCATCAGGAAAGCTGGAAGCATGTAAGAAGCACCACTCTATTTTGTTTTCATTCTGGCTCTCTGACTACTTTTGTTGGTATTGAATATTGCACCATACAGTCATATCCTCACACAGGATCCCAAAGATCTAAATCTAATTGAATCTAATTTCCAGCCTGCCTTTTCTTTTCCTCCCTTGAGATTGACTTACGCTATGAAGCCAGAAATCTGGAGCGCTTCCGACAAAATTTCCTAGATGTCAATTTTGTGAAGTTTCCAACTCCCCTTTGGCCTCTGGTAACAGCAGATGTTCTAGTGGAAACATTTGAGGTAAGAGCTGCAGGGTCTGGGAGTGGTGGTAGCAGGGAGAAGGCCCTTAAGGGAGAATGTGCCAGGGAGGTGTTTTTTGAGAAGCAGCAATTAGAGGCAGAAGGATGCTTTTCTCTTACTTGCTTAAAGAGAATTGTGTCCTTCCTCAGTGTCTCTTCCACTCTGTGAGCAGTGTATCCCAGAAGACAGGTGGCAGACAACTCCATATAGAAGTGAACACTTGGCCTGGAACCAAGCAGACCAGCAGTGTGTCCAGCCACCATGTGCTTGCCTGTGCTTTGCAAACCAACATTGTGCTTCAGCTCTCCTCTGTGATGGGTCAGAGCAAGGAGCTCAGCAATCTGAAACTTCTTGGTGCTTGCCTCACTTTCCTTGTGGATGTTTGACTCACAGACTAAAGCTACTCTCAGCCTTAGTTTTCCTGCATGTGATCCTGGCAAGAGTATTTTTGCCCCAGACTGTGTCATACCCACTTTCCTGCAAAGGGAAACACAGAGCAAACCTGTGTTCTCCATCACATTCAGTACAGCCTCTCTTGAGCAGGTTCTTTCTAGGGCCTTGTTACTGCTTTCCCTCAAGCGTGGGCACCAAGGTAAATGTGTGCTTGAAGGTGGGATGCAGGGTGTGTTTGACTGCAGCTCTTGTCTTTATTTCAGGAGAGCGAGCCTATTTCACACTACCTGCATGCAGAGATTGCCACAGAGCTGAGGCAGAGACTTGCAAAGATGGGCATGGACATGCTGCTAAAGATGGTAGGCACTTGGTAGAGTTGAGCAGTGAAGGTTGTTTTCCTGCAGAAAGCTATTCAGTGGGGGTAATGAGACAATAGGGCTAAAGAGAGAACCGGTTCTCACATCTCCTACCCATCTGCCCAAGGTCTCAGACCAGAGCTGTGCCTTTTAGAGCCAGCCTGTGGATAGCAGGTATCTCACAGTAACCCAGGACTTGGGCCACTTGCAGCTCCTGTGCTGGCAGAGGGAGGGTCTGTACTTCACGTGCAATGTCAGTGCAAGGTCCGAGTAGAGCCTGGGCTAGGTACACCACTACAGTAGTCTTGGACACAGTGCTTCTTCCACTGAAAAAAGGTGATCTGCTTGCACACAGTAGGGTCATCCTATGCAACTTGATCAGTGTATTGCTTAGGAAACCCCCAAATCCATTATTAAATGGATGTTCAGGTATTGCCCAAGTACTATAAAGTGCAATGTAATTAGCAGATATGCTCTCTGCAGAGACTTATGGATGCAACTCACAGGGAAGATGGCTAGGTAGTTTCTTCATTTATTGACTCCTCCTCCAAAACTGCCTTTTTTTAAAGGAAGAACTAAATATGGAGTGAAGATGACAAACCTGGCCACATTCAGCTTCTGGCTGTCTAGTTCTTCTGTGGTTGAAATAATTCCAAATGATCTGGAAGGGAGTGTTAAGAAGGTGACGCAGTGTCTTGTGAAGGGCCATGAGATCTAACAGGGAAGAATTCCAAAAGAACCTCACAGTGCTGAGTGTGTGGGCATTAAGTGTCAGATGAAATTCAGTTGCTGACTGCAACATCATGCTAGGGCAATGGTGAGGCCTGCAGTTCTGACTCTCGGTAGTGCAACAGACTCTGAAATAGCTTTTCTGAGTAGTAAAAGCTGTGGCAGAACTAGAATAGTTCTAACATTAGATTCAATGGTTAGGAGCAAAACAACACCTCCCCCAGTTTTAGGAGCAGAAAAGAATTAAACAGCAAATAAACAACATTATGGCTGTAAGTAAAACAAATACCTGTTTCTTGAATACTCAGTTCTAGTCTGTCCAGGACCCTCCGTTTCAAGGGCTGTAATAGAACTAGGCAAAGAGCAGAGGAAAGGAGGCAGGATGAAGTCCAGAGGAGGGCCATGAGGATGATAAGAGGGCTGGAGCACCTCCCTTATGAAGACAGGCTGAGAAAGTTGGGGTTGTTCAGCCTGGAGAAGAGAAGGCTGTGTGGAGACCTCATAGCAGCCTTCCAGTGTCTGAAGGGGGCCTATAAGGATGCTGGGGAGGGACTCTTTGTTAGGGACTGTAGTGGTAAGACAAGGGGTAATGGGTTTAAACTTAAACAGGGGAAGTTTAAGTTAGATATAAGGAAGAAGTTCTTCACAGTGAGGGTGGTGAGGCGTTGGAATAGGTTGGCCAAGGAAGTTGTGAATGCTCCAACCCTGGCAGTGTTCAAGGCCAGGTTGGACAGAGCCTTGGGCGACAGTTTAGTGTGTGGTGTCCCTGCTCATGGCAGCGGGGTTGGAACTAGATGATCTTAAAGTCCTTTCCAACCCTAACTATTCTATGAGTCTATGATTTTATGATTACTGGTGTGGAATGGCTTCCATACTGAAATGGTGAAACTATTTAGACTCTTAACTCTGGAAAGCAGAGAAATAAGTAGCTTCTGACAGAGATGTAAGCAGTCATGAGTGCATGAGAGTGAATATGGATCTATTGTGTATGGCTTCTCAAACAGAACAATAAGGAGGTCAGAAAATTATCAGAGGTAGTTTTTTCAGACAACACCTAAAAAACCCCCTCTTCCATTTTCTCCCCTGCCCCAGTTCTAATTATTTATGTGGCAATTGGACAAATTCATAGGGGAAATCCATGAAATACAAAGATAACCTACTTGGGGCAGGAAGTCCTGCAGACCAAGGTGGCCTGGAGGATTAGTGGGGAAGTACTGTCTTGTGCTTGCCTTCTTGCAAGTCCTTTCTGGTGCTAACTGCTAGCAGAGGCAGAGAAGTGCTACATACATTTGTTTCCTCTTATCTTGTTTTCCTTACTTTTCAATACAGTTGTAATGTGGGTTGTTGTCCTGGACTAGACAAACTTAACCCTTCACCATAACCCATGCTACTGAATGGCAAATGGCCTATTCTTACTGCATTGCTTTTTGCCAAGGCCTACCAGTGTGCCCCCAATTCAGGGTCAGTTGCCACAGACTACTACCCTTCCCTGCTGGTACTCCTGGCTGTCCTACCTGACCTCTAGCAAACACACAGGATGGCTTCACACAGCTCTGCTGACTCCCTGAGTGTAGCACCCATGCCATTTCAGCACAGCTGGCCTCCAGTGCTGTGTGGCTGCCTAGCGTGATGTACGTTAGTAATGATGGTGAACAGACCAGAAACAAACCTTTGCTGTTGGCCTGCAGGTTTTGGTGTGGGTAGGTTTGGTTGGAATGAGCAGCTCTAAGACTTTCCCATCCTCTAGGTCTTTGTTGACAACTTTGTCCATGCTGACCTGCACCCTGGGAACATCCTGGTTCAAGGCACGGCCCACGTCAGCACCAGCTTCAAGGAGCAGGCAGCCATCGTGGACTTGTGTGACACGCTCGTGGTGGAAGTGCAGCCGCCCCTCAGGCAGCTCTGCCTGGTGCTCCTTGACGCAGGGATTGTGGCAGAGCTGCAGAGTGCTGACATGAGGAACTTCAGGGCAGTTTTCACAGCTGTGGTCCAGGGCCAGGTGAGGTCTCTGTCGTGGTGCTGGGGAGCTGAGGCTGGGGAAGAGAGGCAGCAGTAGAGTCTGATAGCCAAAGTGATAGTTTTCTTATTTCCATAATCCTCCTTAAGAGGGGGGAGGAGAGCTGGTAGCGTGGAAGCTATACTGCAGCAAGGATAAGATGTTCAGCCTCAGCAAGGAGGCTGCCAGAGTGGAGTGATTTTAGTGGCCCAGGAAACAGGAAGCACTGGCTGCTACTTCCCTGGTCAGGAGTGCTTCTGGTGCAACTTAGGACTGCCTGTAAGCCACTTGTGTTTGAGCCTGTTGCAGAAATTGGCCAGGTTAGAGAAGAGGAGGGAATAGATTAACATCTTGGTCTGTCACACACATTTTGTTGTGTGAGCATCTGTAGAGAAGAGGAAGCAAAACAGTGGGGGTGGAGGCCCCTTTGTATAAGGGGAACTACCTTATCCTCCTTCCCACTTACTTAAAATACCCTCTGAGATTGACTAGAGAATCCAGTGCTGATGTCTCCTGTTTATTCTCAGAACAAGCATCTGTGTTCATATGCACGTTGTTGGTTCTCAGCTGTGGGTTGGGTGGCTCACCAGCGTGTCTCAAGAGGGACACATTTTTAACTTGGTCAGTTTAACCTGCTGAAGCATACCAAGGAGTAAGTGCTACACCATGCATTGGGGCCCATCCTGTGCTGCCAGACTTCTCAGTCACTGAGCAAAGACTGCGAACATTTGATTGCAAGTCCTTCATGGCTCAGGCTGGGCAAAATTCATGATCTACAGGTGGAAAAACTGCTACACCGTCTCATTGCCAAACCTGGGGCTGTGGCCCTGTACACTGCTGTCACACGTCTTCCAAAAAGAGCTATAAAGCCTCTCACAAGCAAAGCTTGGGTATATCTCCCTTTCTCACCAAGAATCTCTTCGTGTAGAATCAGCTCACTCTTCTCTGTAGTTTACAAGTGAAAGGTTGGACCTAGCCTGTAAGGAAGGTTAATATATGCTCTTCTTTACACCATTATCTCCTCTGCTGAGAAGAGAATGTCAGTCCTGTGGGTTTTATTTCCCTCCCCTAAAACTTCTGACTGCCTGAGAGATACCTTTGTCGTGTTCTACCCTGAAAGACCTGCAAGAAAAATAAACAGGGTTTTACCAGATACCAGCTAAGACTTTTGGACCAGTTCTGCTGCTCTTGCTTCTCCTTCTGTTGATGCATTGGGTCTCCGTTGCTGGAATGGGATAATGTGGGCCTGGGAGTTCTCCCTGCAGTATGCTTCCTCCAGGGACCTTTGCAGCAGGGGCCTTCCAGCTCCCTGTGGGCACCAGTGATCATGGTCTGATTCTCCTTTTCAACGTGTTTCACAGGGGGAGAGAGTGGCAGAGCTGATCCTTCATCATGCCCGTGCTAACCAGTGCCAGGATATCGAGCGATTCAAAGCTGAGATGGCAGAACTAGTGACCAAGGTGCGGGGGAACACCATTGCCTTGGGAAAGGTGAGTGCACTATGTCCCACCCTTGCTTACCAGTAATTCAGTGCAACTTGGCTTTCAGAATGAGCCATGTGGAAAGACCAGCTCTCATCTTATCAGCACTGCCAACAACATCTGCAATTCCCTCTGAGGAGTTGCTAAGCCAAATGTTACAGCTTGCATCCCGTTAGCTAAGGCCAGGCTGGGTGCTTCAGAGAATGTAGTGTGGTGGCATTGAGCAAATGAATGCATGTTGTGTACTGCTGTGAGGTCAGATGTTCTCAGCCTTCCTGGGCTAGCAAGTAAGCAGAACCATGAATTATAGCTGAGCTCCTTATCCTGGACAGGGTGGGGGGATGGTACGCTGATGGTGGCTGTTGTCAGCCCAGTAATCCTGTCCCACCACCAGAACCAAATGCTGACACTTAGAAGAATCTGGCCTGTCACTCAGTCTTCTTGACCACAGGTTTTTTTGATCAGTTGTTAACTTCTCCTTTTGTATTCCAGCTTCAGGTGGGAAATCTGCTGTCAAATGTCTTCAAACTGTTGATGACCCATAAGGTGAGGTCCTATTGCTGTCTGCCTTCAATAGCTGGCAAGTTCGTTTGGGGTGAGAGAAACACTCAAATGGACATGAAGGCCTGACAAGGAGGGGGACTGTGAACTCTGAAACGAGCT